CACACACACACACACACACACACACACACACACACGCACACACACGCACACACACAATACTCGCTCCGTCCCTCCCTCCCTCCTTCCCTCCCTTTCTCTCTCTGCATACACGCACACAATACTCCCTCCCTCTCCCCCCCTCCCGCCTTGTATCTCTCTCTCTACGTCGCTCTCTCTCGCTCTCTTTGTCTGTCTGCGTGCCAGTAGCTATAACTACTAGACACCCCAGGAACTGGTAACAACGATTGCCTCAATCTGATCATGGCTTGCGTTTGTAGCCCGCGTCTGCCTACTCAAAATAATTCCAATACATCGACTCCACTGCCTCATCTGAGTAGGGACCTGCCCCTCCCTCCCCTTTTGCTGAACCGGGGGCCACCATCTCTCCTGTTCATTGCCAGAAAAAGAGCAAAACAGCAAAGAACTTGTCGCACACATGGAAGTACACCCTCTGCCCTTCGTCTTCACCCCCTCTTCCCCTCAATCTATCAATCAAATACCCAATTAATCAAAAAGTCCTAGTACAACACAGATGCAAAAATTGTCTGTCTACATTACTAGCCATCGAGAGCAAAATAAATCTGTACCCAGTGGTCGCCTCCGCCTGCGCCTCCACCTCCACCGTCGGTCCCTCCCTCACTCCCCCCCCGCACGTCTGTTGCGATGAGCATCGAATCCATCCCGTTGCCCTACCAACAGAATCCACGTGGCCTGCGACAGCAGGAAAAGACCCAATTAATTAGTTCATTCATCGCTCCAGATAGCCTATACCCTCACTCTCCGTCCGCCATCCCGTTGACAATGCGTTACACGACATTATCTATGCCGTCTTGCCCCTCCTGCCATTAGTCACTTTACACTTGAGCCCCCTTATCTCTTTCCTCCACCTTTCCCCCCATCCCTCCACCTACACCGTGCCCCCCCCCAGGCCCCTCCACGCACCCCCCCGGGCCCCTCCAACTCCCCCCTCCCCCACCAATTATGTATGTTATCTTTTGGACAGACATACAGGGTCTTCACTGTCGAACGCTCCCAGAAACAAGGCAGCCCAAGCTGTACACGTGTCCCTTGCGTTCTTTCTCCCTACAATTCTTCTCCATGTCGCCTTACACTGGAATCCCCCCCTTCCGTCTCTCTAACACTTGCTTTATATACTTCCCACCCTCCTCCGCCTCCTTGCCGCAATCCCTCATTCATTACACGTGTCCCCCCTCAATCGCTACACTCAATTGTTTATCCAACGGCGGGTTCGCCGCTCTCTCCCTCGTCCCCCCCTGTTTCCCCCCCACTCCCTTCTCCATTTACACAGAATCGAATTCATTAATCATGCTCATCAATTGACCCAATCAACGAGCAAGAGTGTCAACAAGGCTCCATGGATGCCACATGGAATGATATCGCTAGTTCTACCTCCTCCCCTGGCTTTCCCCTGATCGCACACCGACTAACGATTGCACGCCTCCGCTAAAAATAACGGAGGTGACCTCGTTCCCCTCCTCTCTTCTTCTTCTCCCCCTCTCCCTCTCCCTCTATCAGCCCGTTTGCACATCTCCCTCCCTGCGCGATGGACAAATGCGTGAGCTAGAAACTGAAGACAGAGTAACGAGGAGGGGCGGAGATGGTGGTGGAGAAGGAGGAGGAGGAGGAGGAGGAGGAGAAGATTCCCTTCGGCTGCGCGTTCGACTTGGCAGATGCACTTACGCGTGGCAAGATCATTTTGTCGCCATGTCACACGCACCTTACCGTGTGTGTCTCTCCTTTCCCGAGCTCTGAGCGTTTGTGGGCATGTGTGTGTGAGAGAGAGAGAGGTACTGTGCACCCTCTATGGGGATTAGGCAAAGCACAAAGATTGCGGCTGCACTCCGCGGTCGTCTCTCGGAGGGTGTCAAGTCCAATTCGAACGGGAAGTACTGCATTCCCGCGCATACTTGTCGGCGGTGAAAGTGCGGCATCCATCAGAAACGGTCCATCAAGGGGGTGAAATAATTCATGCAAGCTTGGCGCATGTGCCTCAATTGTACATTCCGCGTAACCGCTGATAAGCAGACATGAGATCGAATCTTGCTCCCAGCAGATGAGCAAAATCAGTCTGAATTACCTGGGCCGGTAACTTTTTTTTTTTTTTTTTTTCCCCAACCAGTTCAATTACCTGTACCTGTCGATCAGGCCTTTTTTATTGTCTTTTTTTTTTTTTTTTTGTCATTATAGTATTACGGGGAACCCCTAGCAGCCACATCCGACCTCAAGCCCCCAACGAGGGAACATGTGCGAGCTGCACCCACGAGCACCAGGTGGGTGGGCGATACCGGCCAGGGGTCAGCCGGTAGCATCAGGACCGAGCTTCTTCTTCGATGGGCCAGTCACTGCGCCTCCCCTCAGGTGGTGGTCCCCTCCCCCTATGAGCATCACCAGTCTCTGCTCAATGCCACTCGGGGGAACCAACGACATATCTCTAGGTGGCGGGCGCCATGAGGTCACAGGAAGGTACATGAGGCCAATGGGATTCAAGGCCGTTGCCCTCCGTTTTTTTTTTGAAAAAAAACATGTTTCACTGGGCTCTGTTCCTTGTGCTCGCTTCTATCTCACGGGTTATAGGGGGATGGTTTCTGCCCCCTTTCTGGCTGCAATTAAGCGCCCGAATCTGTACGTGTTTTGCGCACAAGTGCGGAAAATAAGATCGATCGCTCTTTTCTGCGACTCTCCGCAAACACGTCCACATCGCTAGTAGGACCTCGCCCGGGGCTGTGGAGGATTCTCGGAGGAACTGCAGGGCGTAGTCCCGATAACATGGGATTTTTTTTTTTTTTCTTCTTTTTTTCAACAAAAGTAGAATCATTCATTACCAAATCATTGGGGGAGGCCGGGGGCAAGGTCCCACTTGCACGGATTAAGAGATTCTGGCCATCAATCTTTGCTATCTACGGTCAATATCGCTTAATCCGTGTAAATGGGACCTAGCCCCGGGAATCCTCCACAGACAACCCGGAGTAACCTCTGAACCAATCTGGGGCCATTACCCAGTATTAGGCTTGGGCGTTGGGAGGGCGTCCAGAGACATTATGGTCAATTCAGGACCGTTGCTCTGACAAATCCGCAACCCCAGTGAAAAAGAGAACCATCCCTCAAGGCCTAAGAGCGGAACAAACCAAAAAAAAAAAAAAAAAGGAAAAAGTGTACCACCAAAACAACCCATGCTATAGCCATTTGCCAAGACCAAAGACAAAACCAACTAGAATTCAAATCTAAAAGCTATCACCTAAGGATGGGGGAGAAGAGACAAGCTATCCTACCTGATGTATGTTCCTACCACCTAAATTTGGTGGAAGGGTCTCGCTGGACCCTTATATGCTGTGTGGCACTCCCTCCTAACCTCCCTGCCCCATCTGCCTGCCCACTGCGGCAGTAAAACAGAGTGTCCTGGTTGAACAAGATAAAATTAAACTCAAACCTCTATTTACCCATCCGAAAAAAAGCAGGAGCCAAGCTCCAACTTATCCTCCTCGGTAATTCTAGCCATGTCCTTGCTGAGGCACCATGTTCTCTGGAACCAGGTTCTGCCTGGATTTGTTGAGAAACACATGGGATTTTTTCCCCCTACTGTAGGTTCGATGTGAAGGACACGTTTCCAATCCACTTTTCCATGCTGCCGCTACTCTCAGGAAGTACCTTTCCTGGACATCCATCCAGGCAAAGCGGGCCTCACATACGTTCCCAGCCATATTTCAGAGTCACGGGGTGCATGCTGCTGCGAAGTACCACGGTGCCTTTTCGCCGGACATCCATCCCCCAAAACAGGCCTTACATAAGGCCCATTTTGCCTGGATGTCCAGCAAAATGGCACCCTGGTAACTCTGAAAAAGTGGCTGGGAAACCTACTGGTGGTGCATGCAGACATCACGAAAGCAAAGGAATGGGTAGCTAGTATGAATCTCGAACAAGGCAAAAACCATCTCTTTGCTGGGATACCTGGTCATACGCCCCGGCACCTTGGACCCGCCTGGAAGGTCACCAGTCCAAGTAGCCTTGAGTCTAGGGCCTGTTTGGACGATATCAGAGCCCGGAGTGATGTTTCCCTCCGAAAGGGAGGAGGTACCAGTTGCTTGGAGGCCGCACTGTGACGAACCACTTTCTGTAACACGCGAGTTTCTGCGCGGTTGCAACGAGGGGTCCTAAGCTGGGAAGATTGGGCCAATCACGGGAAATCGGGATCAGTGGAAAATTGCATCAGTACCCTTGCTTCTTCAGCCTTTTTGTCGCTACTTCGGGGCTGGGTGTGTCCTAGGACAGCCGGTTGAATGATTGGTCGGATGGATGTCCGGCGCGCCACCGCGTGCGCGATAAATAAATATTGACGTCGTTTCTTTCGTTTTGGTTTCGATCTTTTGGGCGCGGACATCGCGCGGGAAATTGTTTCGTTCTTTTTGAATTTCCTTTTGAATCTTTTTCGAATTTTGTCGAGCCCTCAATGGCTCTTGGAATTTCGGACTTTTTTTTATGAACTTTGTGCTTTTTGCTTTTTGCATTAGACAGGAATTTAGGAATTCGGTAATTAGGATTTTTCCTGCCGCACGACACCTTTTGTCCACACACTTCTTCATGCGGCCGCAACGGTATTCTGATTAGTGGGCGCCCTTAATCGTGCGTGTAACTGTAATTTTGGGCGGGTGCCATTGTAACTGTATCTTTCTTCTTGCACT